GAATGCATTTAGTAATACTTACAAAGTTCAGTCTTTTACATATGTTCTCATAAGAGATACTTAAGTTTTTTGTAATGGGATCTAGGTGAAAGGAACAAATTGTGGCTATTAACATTTGAAAATTACATATATCAAAATAAATATTTTCCCAATATATTTCACCAATATTACATACATCAATACATTTTACAATTGAACATAATATGATAGAATGCATTTAGAAATACTCACAAAGTTCAGTCTTTTACATATGTTCTCATAAGAGATACTTAAGTTTTATGCAATGGGATCTAGGTAAAAGGAACAAATTGTGGCTATTAACATTTAAAAAAATATACATATATCTAAATAAATGTTTTCCCAATATATTTCACCAATTAGGTGTATACTCACAAGATACTCTGCTTCTGAGTTTGATTCTAATTGCGAGTATGGACAGGCTCTGGGGGTTTCCTCTATTTAAAGAGGAAAATGAACATCAGATGTAGAGGAGGCAGAGAAGTTGATTTAAGGTTCATTTAAAGTTACAGGTGTGGAAAATGTCAACACTAGATGGCGTTGTGAGTAATGTACTTCCCAGGGATGTGTAGTATACAAGGGATAATGCAAAAAACCTCAAAGTTATATATAGCAACTGTATGAATTATGTTCATTGAGACCATATGGGTGTTCCGTCCGTAATCTGAAGATCCAATATGTTTCCCTTTGTAGGAGTTTAGTGTTAAAGTCCATGTGTTTGGATTGTGTGACTACTTCTAATATGTGGTATTTAAAAGATTCAGGGTTGTGCCGTAGATCATCAAAATGTTTATACAGTATGGAATCTCTGGAATTAGTTCTAATTTTGCTCCGGTGTTCTATAATCCTAGACTTCACTTCTCGACGAGTTTGGCCCACGTACATCAGTTTGCATTCACAAATAATCCCGTAAATAACCCCCTTGGTTATGCATGTGGCAAAATGGGAGAATTTAATTGTAAATGGTGGGTGTTGGTGTGTAAAGATTTTAGTCTCCACCAATTGGTTACACACTGAGCAATGATGGCACCGATAATTGCCAATTAGATTTGATTTCATGGTCCGAACATTATGTGTTAAATCTGAATGTACCAAAAAATCCCCAATGCTCTTGGTTCTTTTATATGCTATTAGTGGGGGTCTTTCACAGCCCGGGATGTCCCTTATTAAGTTCCAGTATTTTTTAATTGTTCTGATGGCTAAATTGGACATGTTAGTGAGAGTAAGTGGCCATATTAATCTTTCTACTCTAGGTCTAGTCTTGTTCTCTAGTAATTTAGACCTGGGAATGTTGGCTACTTTTAGATAAGATGATTGTATTATATGTTCAGGATATCCCCGGTTTCTAAACTGTCGTTTCGTTACCTCAATCTCGTGAGTGAAATCCTGTTGGGTCGAGGAATTACGTTTAATCCTGAGCATCTGTGAGAACGGTAGATTATTTTTTAATGCCCAATGATGGTAGCTATTGTAGTGTAACAGGGAGTTTCTGTCCGTGGTTTTACGGTGGTTTCTCACCCTCAATCGGTCGTTTTCTTTTATAATCATAACATCCAGGAAAACCAAGGATGTGGCACTGATGTTCCCTGTAAATTTGATATTGTGGTGTACTGTATTGATCCAGGATAATAATGTTTCTGCCTCATGATGTGAGTTTATAATGATGAAAATGTCATCAATAAATCTGCAATATTTGATTATGCTACCCGCTACAGGGTTATATGCACGATTCAAAATTATATTGTTTTCCAAATTATCCATAAATAAATTTGCTATTGAAGGTGCAACAGGGCTGCCCATGGCCACTCCTTGTATTTGAAAATAATATTTTTGGTCGAATTTAAAGAAATTTTTTTCGAGAATGATATCAAGGAGGTCCAACAAAAAGAAAGTGGGAGGGTGACAGTTTGATCTCCTGTTCAGAGTAGACTCACATATAGTGCGTGCCTCTTCTATTGGAATGCTAGTGTACAGTGAAGTTACATCTATAGACATCAGAACAGCATCTGTTGGAATCACCAAGGGTTCAATGATATTAATAAAATGTTTAGTGTCCCTAACATAAGATGAAGTCTGTTTTACAAAGGGTTGTAAATGGTGGTCCACAAATTTTGCTAGTGGTTCTAGAATGGAGCCTGATCCTGATATGATAGGACGGCCCGGAACTGGCCTGATGTTCTTATGTATTTTTGGCAGAATATACAGGACAGGGGTTCTGGGCCATGGAGTGTGTAGATACTTATATACATCCTCTGATATATATCCAAGTGACAGTCCTTCCATTGTCACTGTTTTTATAATAGATTGGATGTGATGTGTGGGATCCCGTTCTATACTAAGATAGTGTTCTCTTATTGATAATTGTCTGTGGATCTCATTCATATAATCAGTATGGTTCATTAACACTATGGCTCCACCCTTGTCAGCCGGCTTCCAAATGAGGTTTTTGTCATTGGCTAAACTACGAAGCGTGTTCCACTCACTGTTAGAAAAGTTTGTACTGTGTGTCCCTTTGTTTTTTGTGAATGTGTGACATAGTTCCTCACATACTGTTTTTTCAAAAACCCTAAGTCCTATATGGTCTGTGCTAGGAAAAAAGTTACTACGAGGTTTGAAGGTAGAAGTAGTGATGTTTTTCGTGGTCCCAAAATGCTGTCTTAATCTGATGGTACGGAATAGCCTAGCTAATTCTATACGCATCTTAAATGGATTATATTTGGGTTTGGGAACAAATGTTAGCCCTTTATTAATAACGTGCTTTTCCTGAGGGGTTAAAACTCTGTTGGATAGATTTACTATTAAGTTTTCCGTTTCACATTTGGAGCCTCTTGAAAAAAACGATTAGGTTTGTTTCTGATACGACCCGTACGTCTAGGTGTGTGGGTGTTGTCCCTCCTGTATGAGGCCACACTATGTCCTGAACTATCTGACATAGAGCCTGTGTCTTCTTCAGAAGTGAATTCACTGAATCTTACTTGTTTTCTAGAGTGGTAGTGTTTGGAGTATAGCC